TAATCAATAACCACTCATCATAAAGCAAGAATTTAATTGTTGGTATTTTGCATTTTATGATAATAAATCATGAATAACGCATATGTTTTCAAAATTATTGAGTGGCATACCCTAGATATGGTATCAAAGGACTTTTTATTTCAAGTTGGTAAAATGCAATAATATAAAGACAATAATAAAAATGCAAGCTGGATACAATAATAGAGATTGTACAAGTATTAAATAACTCTAAACAGTGGTAAACAGAGTTAGAAATATCATGTATCTATAAAATGTTTACCAAAATCCTGATACTGTATTCCCCAATGCTTATTTTCTCTCACTGTTTATTCACAAATGTGACTATCACTTATAAAGTTCTTATAGTTCTATCAACAACTACAATTTTATAGTTGTCTCTTGGGTTCAGTTCCCCATATTAAGTGCTGTCTATTGTGGTTACGTTTTAATTTATATTATTTTATTACATGTAATCTTCTTAAATTCTGATCTACTTGTACTTCGAGGCAAATAAATAATAGTGTTAAAACTCAAATCTCAAAAGCATGACTTTTTAGTACAAATATTTGGATTTGTTTATACAACAGAAAGAATAAATATCCTGGGTAAGCTCTTTTCCCTTGTTCTTTTAGATGCACTTTTCACAGGTAAAAGCACAGTAGGTAAATTTTGGGACTTGGACTAAGGTCATTAAATTTCAATTGAAAAGATTCCACTCACATGTCTTTTATTCCACTCCATTGTCTTCACATCCTGGAAGTATTTTAAGGTTGTAAAGAAAAAAGACTTCTCAATATATTTCTGATCAAAAAAAAAAAACCACAAAACTGTGACACCTATAGCATGATACAGTGTAATTTTTTAAAATTTTATTGAATCACCATGAGATAGTTACAAGCTTTCATGTTTGGGTTAAAATCACACAATGATCAAACACCCATTTCTCCACCAGTGCACATTCCCCACCACCAATATCCCGGGTATAACCCCCTTTCCCACCCTCCCTCTGCCTCCATGTCAGACATGATTCCCCATAATCTCTCTCTACTTTTGGGCATTATGGTTTTCAATACAGACTCTGAGAGGTTATCATGTTTGGTCCTTTATCTATATTCTGCATACACTCCCATCCTGACCTATTCCTCCAGCCATCTGTTTTTTAGTGATCCCCATCCCTTTGCTCATGAGGCAGGCTTCCAGCTATGGAGCAATCTATCTGTCCTGGATACACTGTATTTTACAATGTACAAATGTATATTTTTCACATATGGGCTGGTTCAATAGCACAGCAGGTAGGGCGTTTGCCTTGCATGAGACTGACCCAGGTTTGAGTCCTCCGTCCCTCTCGAAGAGCCTGGCAAGCTACCCAGAGTTTCCCACCCGCAAGGCAGAGCCTGACAAGCTCCACATGGCATATTCAATATGTCAAAAACAGTAACAAGAAGTCTCACAATGGAGGTTACTGGTGCCCGCTCGAGCAAATCGATGAACAATGGGAGGACAGTGCTATAGGACAGTGTTACAGTGCTGTATTTCTCACATTTAATTGACTTCTGATATACCGGAAAAGTTGGAATGTATAACAAATGTCTCCTTAATATAAACAATACATTAATGCTATTACTTATTCTCAGCGGAAAATACCTTTAACATTTACTATTGTCTTAGAGTAATTTAACCTGTATTTCAAAATAATGGTGCCCCATAAAGAGAAGAAGGAAATAATAAAGAAGATAACTGTTCAGTCTACTTTGGGACTAAAAACTGACCCTCAGTTAATTTTTCTAAAAAGAATTATCTGTCACTGTCACTGTCTCCCATTGTTCATCGATTTGCTCAAGCAGGCCAGTAACGTCTCCATTGGAGACTTTGTTGTTACTATGTTTAGCATATCGAATACATCACGGGTAGCTTACCAGGCTCTGCCGTGCAGGTGAGATAGTCTCGGTAGCTTCCCGGGCTCTCCGAGAGGGGTGGAGGAATCGAACTCGGGTCGGCCATGTTGGCTGCATGCAAGAAAAATACCCTACCACTGTACTATCGCTCCAGCCCAAAAAGAATTATATGCCTCTCAAATTCCAAGTTATGCTTTCATTTAATTTTTGTCATTGAAGGACAAATACAAAATGCTTGCTTTCTATATTTACTAATATTTTTGTATTTATAATTCTAATGACCACTCTCCGCACACATGAAGGTACCGGCAGAGGAACAAAGCCACGCAGGTCCTGGGGCCGAGATCTCCAAGCCTACTTGGATCGGGGCTGAGCATCCTCCACCCAGATCCTCAAAATTTCAGTAGGCGGGGGTCACACCAACTAACTGGCTCCCTGGCGCCGTGTAATCCCATCAACGGCCAAGGCTCAGAGACTATAAAACTCAACTCCCGGAAGCGCGCGGCCACATTTGTGGCCACGCGACGTCTTATCATCTCATTCCTACTTTGAACAAACTGGCAGGCTACCGAATGTAACCTGCCCACACGGCAGAGTCTGGCAAACTCCCCATGGTGTAACCAATATGCTAAATACCAGTAACAATGAAGGGTCTCATTCTCCCAACTCTGAAAGAGCCTTGAATATGGCACTTAAAAAAAATCTCAGGGCTAGGACAAAGGAGACATTACTGGGACCTGCTCAAGGCAATCGATGAATAACAGGATGGTTGCAATTGTGATTTATTGTGATGACCATTAATTGTTGAAAAATAATCAACTTTTGCTTTTTGAAATAAATTTAATTCTTTTTCTGACTCTTGACTTTTTTCTTTTTATTAGAGTTCTAATTTAGTAGAATGATTCCTTACCCTCAAACCAAAAATTAGCTCATTAGTCACATGATGTGGATGTTTTGTGCACAAAATATGATAGCATTATTCCTACCTGACAGAATACGATAGAATTATGCATGGCCTTATCTTAGAAATTTTCACTGTAAATAAAAAAATTTGTCTGAACTCTTTATAGTTCAGAATGAGAAATAATTTTAAAAATTTAAAGAAAAGAGATCAGAACATGTTGAATCATGACCCATTGAACTGTATTTTGATCTTAAAAGGTATCTCACTGAAGTTTAGAATTAGCACATTGAGGTAATCCCAAGAATTCTTTCCTGATTACTCATAAATTTTTCCATTTAATAAACAGTTTAAACTTCATTAATGACTGCTTAAAACAGAAACGTTCACTTGAGAAAATTAAACCCTTATGGAATATTTATAAATGTCCCAGAATCTTAATGGCATATGTAGCCATGTTAATAAAATACATGCTCTCTGGATATGAGTAAGGTGGAAGCGCATTCCTGGATTAGATAACTGACTCAATAAAATTACTGAGGGACTCAACAAATGTACTTGTTTGTAGTTCTAAGTACAGTGTTATGTCACCATTGAATTTTCATATAAAATTGTTTGAGAGCATACTCAATTTTAATATACTCTATTTTCAAATGTCCTAAAAATTGGTGAATTTATTTTCTTTTATTTAAAAAAAATTTAAGTAATTTTGACTTTGGGGCCACAGACAGCAATCCTTATGGATTATTCCTGGTTCTACACTTAGGATTTACCAGGGCAGTGCTCAGGGGATGATATAGGATGCAGGGGATCAAATCCAGTTAGACCACATACCTTACCTTCTGTAATATCTTTCTGGCTCTGGTGATTTTTTTTTTGGTTCTCTTTTTTTTTCCTTTGTAAAAATTTCTTGTTTATTTTTTAATGTGGTGATTTGTTTAAAATGATAACTAAAGAGCCATCAATACTCCAGTAGAGGGGAGTAAGAACTTATGGAGCACAGGGTACACTTTTATCAATAAACAAAAATATAGTGAATAAGGAAGCAGAGAAAATGTGTATTTATTGGAATAAATGAATGGAAACTGAGAGGAGGGGAAGATATTGTCATCTTCAAAGTTTTCCTCAGTAGAAGGAACAAGAATAAATATTGGGCTGGAGTGGTAGCACAGCGGGTAGAGCGTTTGCCTTGCATGCAGCCGATCCTGGTTTGATCCCCAGCATCCCATATTGTCCCCCGAGCACCACCAGGAGTAATTCCTGAATGCAGAGCCAGGAGTAACCCCTAAGCATCGCTGGGTGTTTCACCAAAAAAAAAAAGCAAAAAAAGTTGAATAAATATTAAAACAAGCTTGAATAGAGATCATGTATAGATTACTGAAGAAAACTAAAGAAAGGAATTAGCTGGTGTGTGCAAAAACATAGAAGCAGATGTAAGCTTCAAAAGACCTTTCAATAGGACCAATTTTCAAGAAGAGTTTTAGGTTTTAAAAATGAGTATTAAACTGGCTCTCTGATAAACCAGCATCTGAGAAGCAATTTTTGCCTTCAATTTCTGAAATTAATTTTCACTTGTGCTGAAACTCATAAAGATAAAAATATCGAGGCTATTGTGATAATATGCTAAAACTGAACATGTGAATTCTCTTTTTAAAATTTTAACTGTCTTCTTATGTTTTCAATGAAGGTATTTTAGGTCTTTACCTTACTAAACAATTTTCTTCATGAAACAAATATATTTGACTAATTTCGTTTTCAAATTAATTGCGTGTAAATTTACATGGACATGAGCTCACTATTCTGCAGTGACAGAACAGAAGAAAGGTTTAATTACCTAAGGACTCTCATTAAGTGTAAATGATGTAATATACAATTCAACTTAAGATGGTCCATACTTTTTGAAGAGTCAGCCATTTCTTTTCATAAAAGCAACTCAACAAACTCAAAGGCACCCGAAATAGTAAGGTATGCAAGATGGATATTTTAAGGAGAATCAGAGTCTCTGTGTCAAGAATAGCAGATTAATGAGCTGCACTTTAAAGGTAGCAGGCAGAATGACACAAAAGGAGGGGATGTGTGTGACTTGTCACATGTTCAGATCAAGATTTCTAGTATCCTTCTATGCTGGCTGTCATTCATACTCAAGATCTTGCTTTCAACAACAACAACAACAAAACATACAACAACAACTCCACCTCAAGACCATGAGCTACTATGGCACCTGCTCTGGAAGCCTGGGCTATGGTTATGGGGGCTTCAGTGGCCTAGGCTCTAGTTATGGCTGTGGTTTTGGCAGCTTCTGCAACATGGGCTGAGACTGCGGTTGTGGCTATGGAGGCTATGGTTCTGGTTATGGCTCTAGCTGTGGAGGCTGTGGCTGTGGCTCTCACAATGGAAGCTACGGCTATGATTCTGGCTATGGTGGCTATGGATGTGGCTGCTGCCGCCCATCCTGCTGTGGAGGATATGGATTTTCTAACTTCCACTGAAATCCTATGCTGGGCGTCAAACATTTGAGGCCCTGAGATGACAAACTCTGTTCAAATAACCAAAAATTGAACTAAACAAGGTGACCTGGGATCAATCCAAGAACCAAAATATGTAACACCTGAGATACTAGATTTATTCTAATATTTTCCCTGTTTTCTCTCTTGTCCATGTTGTGCTTTCATAACTATAATTTTTCCTTTCCTTTTACAATAAACTCTCCTAAATTAAAAGTGCATAAATGACTTTCTTTAACATGTCTGACTATTTGTACTTGTCAACAGCAGTAAAGAAAATGCCAGGCTACTGCTCACAATAGCCAGAATCTGGAAACAATCCAAGTGCCCCAAAACAGATGGTTGGTTAAAGAAACTTTGGTACATCTATACAATGGGATACTATGCAGTTGTTAGCAAACATAAAGTCATGAAATTTCTTATAAATGAATGGTCATGGAGAGTATCATGCTGAGTGAAATTAGAAAGAGAGGGACAGACATAGAATGTCTGCACTCATTTGTGTAATATAGAATAACATCATATGAGAATAACATAAGGACGGTAGCAACAGGGCCAGGATGATAGCTCCACCACTTGGAAACCTGCCTCATGTGCTGGAGAAAGAGGCAGTTGGGTGGAGAAAGGACCACTAAGTCAATGATGGCTAGAGGTATCTCTCGTGAGGGAGATGTGTATTGAAAGTAGACTAAGGACCAAACATGATGACCTACCAGTATCTGTATTCAAACCCTAATGTCCAAAAGTAGAGAGAGAGTAAGCAGGAAGTTGCCTGCACAAAGGCATGGGGTGGGGTGGGGTGGGGTGGTAGTGGCCTAAGGAATACTGGAAACATTGGTGGTGGGAAATGTGCGTTTGGAAGGATGGGTGTTTGATCATTAATGAAACTCAATTATAAAAGCTTATATAACTGTATTTCATGGTGATTCAATTAAAAATTTTAAAAAACAAGAAAAAGAAAGTGCCAGGCTACTAAAAAAGATTTATATCTAATGTGAGGTCAATGAAAAATAAGCATTTCTTCCTTTACCCCATTTTATGCACATTTATTGATTGTAGTGATAAGAAGTAATTATAGAGTAAAATATATCCTTAAATGGCCACTAACATAACCTCCTTTCGTGAGTCTGTCATATTTCCTTCTGGTACACTAAGGTGTTACATAGCTTCGTTCTTCAACATTGCCAACTAATTGAAATATTTTCCATTTATTTCTGGGACTTTAAAATTCATTGTCATTACCACTGAGGTCATCTTTATTGTGGCAATGACTGAATACAAATATTGACCTGAAGCTGTGTTTATTCCAGCTGATGTGCTCCAATGCTGACCTTCATAAAACAACAACCCACGTAAGTGGGTAATTTCTTTAAGGGATTTCAAATGATTTTTGCATATGAAAAACAAATAATATCAATATTCAAAAGTATTATTTTAGGTATTGAACAAAGGTGCATATCTGTTATTTTAGTTATCAATATTCAAGAAAAACAACATGATGATGATTTTTTTAAGTATAATGTAATTCAAGAAAAATACAAAGTACACAGAGCTATAGCGATAGGACATGAATAAGGCACTTGCTTTGCAAGCAGTTGACCTCAGTTTCTTTGTTCCCTGGCACCACATATGATTGCCCAAGCAGCATCAGGACTGATACCTGAGCACAGAGCCAGGAGTAAACTATGAGCATAGCTGGGTATGACCCTCGAATAAACTGCTATAATAATACTATGATAGATTTGTGTAGCTCTCAGATGTTCTGCAATGTTATCCCCAAAACCACCTTGAAGGGAAAGTACAAATTTGTGTGTGTGTGTGTGTGCATGTGTGATAATTTTTGTTTGTTTGGGCACTACACTCATCAGTGTTCAAGAATTATTCCTGGCTCTGCTCTGTGCGCGACTTCTGGAGGTGCTTGGGTGACTATGGGATCCCTGATATCCAACCTTGGTCAGCTGTGTTTAAAACAAGTGTACTCCCTTCTGTACTATTTCTCTGACCTTTAGGTCAACTAGTTTTTTACAAAGGAGTGGATAAAATAAAATTAGGTAAATACTTCTCTTAGATGAAATCACTCTTGGAGAACTGAAGAACCACTTGTAAAAAAATTAAAGCTAGGTCCATATCTCACACTTTCCACAAAAGTCAGTTAAAGTGTATCAAAGATCTTCAGATCAGGCTGCAACTTATAAAGTGCATTGAGAAAAATATAGGCACACTGCACCAAGATTTGAATCTTAATGGTATCTTCAATGATGCAATGCTTTTGACAAAGGCAACATAATTAAGAACAAATGGGAATACCTCAACTTAAAATGTTTCTACATGGCAAAAAAACACATACTGAAAAGAAGACATCTAACTGAATAGGAGAAAATATCTGCACACAAAGCATCAGTTAAAGAGTTGATATCAGATTAAATAAAGTACTAAGCTTAACAAGAATGAATCCAAATCTACATCCAATAATTGGAAGAGGAAATGATCACAGACATCTCTGAAAGAGCAATGTATGACTGATAGGGACATGAAAAAATCATCATCTCACTTGCTCTTAGAAAAATTCAAGTGAAGACAACAAAGAGATATCTCACCAGTGAGAATGGCAAATATAAAAAAAAAATCCTGGGAACACTCTGTGTTGGTCAGAATTTGGAGGAAATGGAACTCTCACGCATGTTGATGGAATGCTGAGTCACCCAATATGGAAAACAATTTGGAGACTTTTCAGTTAACTAACAACTCAGCTGCCATACAACCCAACAATTTCACTTCTGGATATCTACACTGGGTCACAAAAACAATAATCCTAAAAGACATATGTACACTTCTTTTTGCTGCAGCACTTAATATAATAACTAAGGTATAGAATCAATCTGTGTGACTGTGTGTGGCTGCAAGGAACAATGACATCTTGCAATTCACGGCAACATAGGTGGAACTGAAAGAAATTATGTTGAGTGAAGTTAGGTGATGGAGAATACAGGATGTTCTCACTGCCCTGCATTATATAAAATAACTGGACAAGGGCATGCTAATCAAGAGAGGCTAATCTAGATCACCCATCTCCCCAGTGCATAGGAAGAATAGAGACAAACGGAATTGAAGGCAAAAAGTAAAAAGGGACAGGAAGTAAGGGGGGCAAGGTAAAAGACAATGGGTGAGTCTGTGATGTAAAGCTGGAGTTGTATCCTTAACTACAACAACAAAACTCTGAAAAGTGTCTGTCAGGTGGCATGCTTGGTGGTGGGAGGGATCTGGGGACACTGGTGGAAGGAAATTGACACTGCTGGTGGGATTGGTGCTTGAACAATATATTTAGGTCTAAAACTAAACAGTGAAAAATGCATAAATAATAATTCTTTAATACATTTAGAAATTAAAATAAATTTACAAGAATAAAAGATTGCAAGCACACTCAAGTCTTGGATTGAATCCAGTATTACTCAAAACTAGGTTTTCTAGTCATTATGTTGATTATTCTCCCCTCCTCATACTTTCTTTTTTGGTTTTGGCAAACAAATAAACAATCCGAATTATGGTCACATGCCTTTGAAGAGTGCAATTATCATAGATGAATATTAAAGATGGCAGTCCAGTGACTGGAGTGATAGCACAGTGAGTAGGGCTTTTGCCTTGTATACAGTCAACCTGGGTTCGGTTCCTAGCATCCCATATGGTCCCCTGAACACCTCCAGGAGTAATTATTGAGTGCAGAGTCAGGAGTAACCCCTGTACATCGCCAGTGTCACCCAAAAAGAAAAAAAAAAGAAAAAAAAAGAAAAGAAAAAGATGACGGTCCACCTCAATTTTGACTTTTTAAATATTCTTATGTAGAATCTGTAACACTGTAGCACTGTCCTCCCATAGAGATAGCAAATCTAATCCAGCTGTATAATTAAAATTTACTTGTCAGTACTGCCAAAACAAAGCTCTAGGTAGAAAGAATTGTTGCAATGTTTTCAAAATTCTCAATTTTGTTTACATATTTTCTCATTGATAGCATATCAGCAATATTTTTATTAATACAGAAGAGCAACTGTGACCTCACATTGAACCAGCCAGGTAGATATATTTCATAGTTTCCATAGTGAACTGTAATCTTTAGTTTTACTAAAAAAAACCATAATTTTTCATGAAACATCAATTCTTAATTGGAAAATAGCATCACAAACTGAAAGAAATACATGTAAAGAAAACAATTATCAGTATCACTGTTTGGTGAACTAGTACTCTCTGTATTGTATTATTGTATTTTCTTTTATTATTAGATTGTATTGATTTTGTTGGAATTAAAATAGCTCTCCAATCTAACTCTTTCCAGGAAATAGTTGTACCTTTTCCAGAGTTATACTCCTTGATCTTCAATCCCATGATGAATGGAAGATCTGGTAGAGTTTAAAAGCAGAATATGACCTCATTAAAACTGTCTGACTTACGTGTGATTTGAAAGCTTACTGTTGACTAATGAGGATGGAATATTCAAATTCTCAACTGCCTTTTAATTTCAGATGAATGATTAAAGTGGAACAAAATCCAAGAGAGCAGACATAGGAATTTAAAAAGATGTGAGGCAGCCAAATATTTCCTAATTAGTACAATGAATCCTCAAACATACAATTTAAAAATAATCAATTGCACTGCAGTATATGAAGAAATTATGAAAACTTAGATCACATCATTTAAAAGTTAAAAAACAAATTTTCCAACATATGAAACATATATCTGACAAAATACTGAACTCAAGTATATAAAGAACTTCAATATATCAATGATAATAATAAAATTATACAGCTTAAATATTGACAAAATGGATGAGCAGGCACATTAACGAGGGGGATGTCAACATTATCAGTAAGAATATATAATAGTTTCCAATGTTATAACTCATCACTTAAAAAACAGGCAACATTTAGATACATATAAAATAGTCATCCAAATTAACCTGAACATGTTAAGTACTATCAAAGAGGTAAAGCTATTTCACATTTCCTACATTTTGGTAGAGCTGTAAATGTACTGAACATTTTGAAAACGATTGACAAGATCTATACGTGCTGTAGTCAAAATTTAGAAATTTAAGGGTTGTGGGTGAGGCACAAGAGACAGACAGCATGTTTGCATATGTAAGGCCCTGGACTCATCCCCCAGCACTGCAAGGTCCCTAGAGCATCACTGGGTATATGGTACCTACAACATTTAAAAAAAACTCTTGGAGATTGGCTCTCACATTTAAGTGACACTAACGAAAATAAGCAATAAATACCTGTTGGACATTAGGTTTTACAATTTACTTCTGTCAGTATTTGTCTTTTAAAATTATTTTGGATATTCCAGAAGAATTTCCAGTGCTGATGTTTTCTTATTGAATCTTATGGACAAATACCTTGTTATATTAGCTTTTTAATATCTCTGACCTTAAAACATATTTACTAATTTGGTTTAGGAAGGAAATATATAATTGAAAAATGTACACTTCAACTTGCACATATATTATCCATTATTATAATTTTTTAAAATAATAAGGCAAATGGAATAGTGGTTACACATTTCTTTAAGGCTAGAAAGGGTCTGAGCTTCCTGCCTTCCCAAATATTGCTCGAGCGGGCCCAGTAACGTTTCCATTGGAGACTTTGTTGTTACTGTGTCTGGCATATCGAATACTCTCGGTAGCTTGCCGGGCCCCCAAATATTACTCAAGTGAAATCAGAGAGCCCTGAATGCCTGTGAGAAGCAACACTTGTGTTTAAAAAGTTTAGAATCCTTTTATCCTTGTAGCAGTTATTTGGGTTTGTGTTTGTGTGTGTGTTTCAGCTACCTGATAACTTTGAAATACAGGTATACATATACATTTGAGAAAATTCATCATTTGAAAATTACTTATAAGATTAAATGAACTTGAAGAGCACATATGAAGCAATATATAACATTAACATGTTCTCAAAGGCTAATGCATGAAGTTAGGGGCTAGATTGCTCAGACTTAACTAGGCTCTGAGTTAACTTTGGCCATATGTGACTAAGCTATTGAAGTCAGCTGAAGAACTTTTGACCTCAATTTATTTCTATAAATATTTGTCTTTTAAAATTATTTTGGATATTCTGGAAAATTTTCCAGTGCTGATGTTATCCTATTGAATCTTATGGAGAAATACCTTGTTATATTAGCTTTTTAATATCTCTGACCTTTACACCTATTTACTAACTTAACAGAGATTTGTTTGTCATATTACGTAGAATAAAAGGAAAAAATAAGAAATTAGAAGAGAAATACAAGAAGAAAATTGTTCTAATGGAGGTAAATATACAAGAAGAAGGAGGAAGTGGCCAATTAGAAATTAAATAAAAATTGATGTCATAAAGAAGTTTTATATACTTCCCAATTTCACCTACAATATAAAAATTGGTTAGTGATCATATAGAGGGTGAGTGAGGTTATAAAAGAAATCATAAGGCTGGGATATGGCTCAAGTGTTAAAATGCAGGATCAGAGTGATATGCAGCAGGTATAATGGACCGCTTGGGTGGACCTTTAGCACCAAACCATTAACTGTGTATACCTGGAGGACGTATTTAGTATATATGTATATTGCATATATGTGTATATAAAATTTAATTCAAAACACAGACAACAAATGCCAATAGGAATGAGAAAAATAAAATCATTATTAATTGTTGATGGTGATGCAAAATGATACAATAGTTTGAGAAGAAAGTCTTATGCTATCTTCCAAAGCTAAATATATTATTTTATATAGGACATACTGAGACATCACAAAGGCTTAGTTGAGAATTTGCTGCACACAAAACCTGAAGACAAATATTTACAGAGGTTGTATTCATAATTGCTGAAATTTGTAATCAAGGTTCTCATCAATAAATGAGTGGAGAATAAAATATTACGTTCAGTCTTGCATTCAGATAAGACTATATGGAGTGATAAACAAATTATTCAAAAAATAACAAGCCATAGAAGAATAGAGATGAATTGCAAAAGTGTATGCATTAATGGATGACAGCAACATAAAAAAAGCTAAATACTATATGAGTATACCCAAGAAATTTTATAAAATAAAAAAAGCTACGGAGGCAGAAAAAAAGATAAGTGGGTATCCAGGTTTTGAGGAAAAGAAGATATTTTTGAGAACAGAAGAGATTTTTAGAAAACTTATTGATACACTATTGAATTAATGTATCATACTAATTCAATACATTGATATTGAGGGGAAAGATAAATATGAGGTGGTTGGGTGCATAAAAGTCTTCTATATGGAGAGATAGTACAGAGAGTGCTTGTTTTGCACTCCAATCGTGATTTCATCCCTTGCATGACATATGAATATTGCCTCTTGAGCACCACCAGAAGTGCTCCTTCAGCCAGAAGTAAACCCTGAGCATTGCTGGGTGTAGTAACCCTCCACACAAACTCTTCTGAAAATTAAGCCCATTTATCAAAAAGAGATTGTATGTAAACTCTCATACATATGAGTAAAAAGTTGAAGGACAGGTGACTGTGAAGATAAAAAAGATGTAATCTGCTTTTTCAGAAGCTTCATGGCTGGAAATCATACCAGAGAAACGGGAGAATCCAAGACAATTACTTATCATCTGTTTTTGAAGCTACATTTAAAGTGTTTCCATTAATGAGATCTGCCCAAGGTGTCTGAACAATTTTGTACCGTATTTATCTAAGCCTAGAAGACAGAACAGAGATTGAACAGTAAGCAATGGGCTTTTGTAAGTTCAGGTTAACATTGTTTCATCAATTGTAACAGGCATAATTGGAGTTTATTGTTTCAAAGTTGTATAAAAATTGAAAAATTATGCCAGTTAGTATGATAAAAATTCTAAAATTAAATAAAAATAACCCATCTTTTTCTTTCCTAATTTTTTTCTTTGTTTCAGTCTTTTTTTTTAGTTTTGGGTCACACCCAGCAATGATCAAGGGTTACTCCTTGCTCTGCACTCAGGAATTACTCCTGATGGTGCTTGGGGGACATATGGGATGCCAGGGACCAAACCCAGGTAGGCCGTGTGCAAGGCAAATGCCCTACCCACTGTACTACTCTTAAGAATCAAGTTGATTCTTCCTGGCTCTCACTTTTTCTACTGCTTACTTGTCTGAAAGAGATAAACTACATTTTAAATGAAGGAATAAAATTCATGAAAGGATACATTATAGATCTTGATGTTTGACTTCCTTCTATATATATTTTATTTTATTTTATTTATTTTTTTAACATTTTTTTCTTTTTTTATTAGTGAAAAACCATGAGGTACAGTTATAGGCTTACAAATTTTGAGTAAAACAACTCAAAGACATATGGCATTGAAGAAATCTTCAGCTGAAAACCACGTTACCCAAATCAATTGATATGCTTGACTACAAAAAACCTACTTAGGATCTGAAATATCCAGCTTTTGAGTCGACAACATTTGATAATATAATGTGATGCAAGAAGTTTTCCTCCAACTCTATCAAGGTATAATTGAGAAAAATAAAATGGTCATATTTCGTGTCAGCATGGTGGTATAGTAATTTATAAAGGCCACCCAAACTAGGCAACAAAGCTCTCTCAGACATTTTAATGAGTGTGAAAACCGAATGCTGTGTCACAGGACCATGAATGAGTTGTTCCCAGTGTAATAATTTTTTAAAATGCCACAAAAGGAGGGGATGCATGTGATTTGTCACATGTTTGGATCAAGGTATATAAGCATCCCTCTGCACGAGCTGCTATTCGTACTCAAAATCTTGCTTTGCACAGAAAACCAATACCTCCACCTCTAACACCATGAGCTACTACGGCAACTGCTGTGGAGGCCTGGGCTATGGCTATGGAGGCTTCAGTGGCCTAGGCTCTAGCTATGGCTGTGGTTTTGGCAGCTTCCGCAACCAGGGCTATGGCTGGGGTTGTGGCTATGGAGGCTATGGCTCTGGTTATGGCTCTGGCTATGGAGGCTGTGGCTGTGGCTGTGGCTGTGGTTCTGGCTATGGAAGCTACGGCTATGGTTCGGGCTATGGTGGCTACGGATGTGGCTGCTGCCGCCCGTCCTGCTGTGGAGGATATGGATTCTCCAACTTCTACTGAAATCCCATGCTGGGCGCCAAACATCTGCGGTCATGAGATGATAAGCTCTGTTCAAATAAACAAAAGTTGAACGAAAATAATCTCCGAGGACTAAACCCAAACTGAGATTTATGCCTGTTTGAATATCTGATATTTTTAAGAATTATCTTCCTAAATTTGTTTGCTTCCTGTCTTCTTTCATAACTAGGATTTTTCTATGCTTGCTGCAATAAACTATAATACTTTGAAATGACACCTGTGGCTATATGATTTCTTTTATGTAAATACTGACTCTCCCTTGCACTGTGTATTAATTTTCTTCACATTTTTTTTGGCTTTGTGGGTCACACCCGGTGATGCCCAGGGGTTACTTCCTAGTTTTGAACTCAGGAATTAGTCCTGGCGGTGCTCGGGGGACCATATGGCATGCTGGGAACTGAACCCAGGAGGGCCATGTGCAAGGCAAACACCCTACCCACTGTACTATGACTCCGGTCCCCTATTTTTCTCCCACTTTTTAAAAAAGAAACTACCTTGAATGTTGATTATATGTCCCTGCAACAACATAGGTATTTAAAGATAGATGTTACAAGAAGTAGTGCACTTTATGCATTTTGTACCTCACTTTAATATTTGGCATTAGTTTCAATTTAGAACCTTTATGGTAGCTGGTGAGATAGCACAGTGAGTATTATGCTTGCCTTGCATGTAGCCAATCTGGTTTCAAGAGTTAGCACCCCATATGAACCCTGGAGCTCTGCCAGGTGTGAACCCCGAAAGCTGAGTCAGGAATAAGCCCTGAGCACTGCAAAGTGTGGCCCCAAAACAAAAACAGAATCCTGAAGTATATTTGTTGTTTTGGTTACTAGATTTACAAAAAGAAAAAAAAGAGAGAAAAGTGATTAGGCAGTGCTAATTTAAATGCTATGAAAATGCTGGAATGCATTTGTACAAAACTGCAGACTTGTTTAATTAAACATAAGAATAAATTGGTTTAGCAAGCTCCGAACAGCTACCCATTTTAGTCAATCATTAAATCTAGTCAATCAGTCAAACATCCAATCCTAACACATTGGTTTTACATTGAGTAGATGAGGAAATTAATAGCTTGATGACTTTATCAGATCAGTGTACCACTTTGTCTGACAGAAGTACAATGTCAGCTATTCTGTTTTCTTAATGGCTAATAGCATTTCTCCACAATATGGGGAAAAGAATTCTGTAGCTCAAAAGAAAATGGTAATAAAGATAACTAATTGGAAATATGTTTGACACTCCCAGCAAATGTAATATCATATTTTTAGAAATTGGACTTACTGAATTTTTTGATCTTCTCTGTATTTAAGGAAAATTGTTGAGCATTTTTTTGCTTTTTATCTTCTTTCTCTGTGCTTTAGTGTTTATTTTCCTAAGAGGGCAGGAATGTCTTGTTCTGTGTGGTAGAAACACCACTGCTTCCTTCAAGCCATTCTTTACTTTATATACTGGGTTGGTCTTAGATGGATCCTTATCTTTTTACTTTTCTGAGTCACAAACTTCAGAGACTGGTCCTATTGAGGACAAAATTTATAAGGAGAATTAAAATAAATGTCTTTATTTTATCAAAGAATACCCTATGTCATAGCATGAAAGAATGTTTTTAAAATCCTCTCATAGCATAAACAAGAGCCTACAGCCATTCTTGGAACTGTTCCTTTGTAAAAGTCTAGACCATCTATTTAAAGTTGAAGTCTTCCTAGAGTATCCCTTGGATTTCCTTTCTCAGTCTTCTTACTTTACCTACTTTAAATGTGCATTTCTCATAAAATAATCAGAATCAAAAGAAAATTTTGATAACTAAAAACAACGTTGTCACTCCAGTGCATCCTTATTTTAGAAGGATAAACCATTGCTTATCTGCATGAAATCAGTCTCATCATTTCAAGCCCCTATCTGGTGTATATCAGAGTTAGAAGGAAGAATGATATACTGAAATCTATTAAGCTATTTTGCACTTTGGGGTTTTAGTTGAACACAATAAAAGTTGAATATTTAGGAATCAGAGAGTACAGTACGTTAGGCACTTGCCTTTTACTTGCTGGTCCAGTTCCCCTCACAGCACATATGACATCCAGAGCCCACCAGAAGTGATTCATGCATACAAGACAGGACTGAGCCCTGAGCAGAACTGGATGTAGCCAAACCCCATCCCTTCATTAAAAGCATGAAATATTCAAACTATTAACTTTTATTTTTAGAGTAAGACATTATAATGGAAGCAGTTCTGGAGAAAGCAGATGAAAGAAATGAACAATCTAAACAATCTACCAGTTGTTCTATTTTTAAAGTAATAAATAATGGAACCAGTTCCTAAGAGAGAAGAAAAAACTGAAAAAAAAAACCTGAACAATCAAGCAGACTGAAGTGACATATATAAAATGTAAGCTGCCCAATGCAATTGTTAAACTAAAATAAAGTAAAGGCCCTCCCGTTGATCGTCGATTTGCTCGAGCGGGCCCAGTAACGTCTCCATTGGAGACTTTGTTGTTACTGTGTCTGGCATATCGAATACTCTCGGTAGCTTGCCGGGCTCTCCAGGCTTTCTGAGAGGGATGGAGGAATCGAATCCACATGCAAGGCAAACACACTATCGCTATTCCATATAAAATAATGAATACTTCACAATACATAGAACCTTTATCCAGTAAATAAAAACATTTTAAAAAATAAATAAAAGGAAAGAGGACAAAAATTATTATAATAATTCCACATTTTCTATGCTCAAATAAACTGCAAGTGCACAAATACAGTATTACAAGAGCTATAATGGGAAATTATAGTCTATTCATACAATGGACTACTTTGCCATAATAAAAACAATAAAACTAACTCCACAGATAGCACATGTGTATCTCACAGGTATAAAGACATACACAATAATTCAGGAGGTTGAGAGAAGTACTTATATATGCATGATTTCATTTATTTAATACCCAGATCAAACTTGTAAGAAATAATTCTGGTAGAGTGAAAAGAGATATTTTAGAAATTTCAGCATGATTTATTTAGATAGTCTTTTAATATATGAAAATATAAATGACATATTTTAGATTTCTGTGTTTTAATATATTTTGCATACCAACAAGAAGAAACAAATAAAATAATGGCTTATATGTTTCATTAAAACAAGAAGTTTAAATTGATTTTTTAAATACTTGAATACATCATAGTAAGTTACCTGTGTCTATAACAGATGCCATCTTTATAAGAATCATAGGATGCATTAACCTATTTAATACTTTATTTATTCAATTCATGCTTCAGATTAGTCAGTGAACAGTCAATCCAATTGGAAAAATAAACCATTTTTTATAGTCTCACCAAAAGCTTGACTAGGTTTGATGCCATATTGAGTTAATAAGAAAGATGTTTATTTAAAATTAAGTGCATATATGGGTGTCTAGGTTCTAGGTGATACACTATTTGGATTAAGCTGAAGGATATTTGTGTTCAACTTTTTATTTATTCTATACATTTTTATGTCAAACTTACTCTTGGAAATTCTGAAGACATTCTGTCTTTGAATAAATTTCACAAGGTCTTTGCAAATGATATATTCTTAACATTTAAGATCTTGATAAATATTTGATATCTTAGCAAGAGACCGACTTTCTGTTTTCTGAGAGAAAATAAATTTAACCAATCACAGGTAAAGAGAATTCAAAACGTTTTTTTTAAAAAAATATATGATAGACATAAATAAAAATAGAGAAGAATTTAACTAAAGAGTGTGTAAAAATGATGTACATAAAAGAAGAATTATGTACCTCACTATTTCACCTAGTTCCAGATCCAAAAGAGAAACTGAGTCAAAGTGATATTTGGAAATGGATAGACTGAAAAATCAGCTATATAGATAGAGCAAAGGGAGAAAATAGGGGAGAAAGTGGCAGAAAAGGAGAATCAGTCTTTATTTTTCAGAGTACTTTGAATAAGTTACATGCTAAAAAGAAAGGCAGGATATATAACAGTTTTTAGTCTTTTATAAAATATTTCATTACTATGATGTATCTTGAGTATTTGGACAATATTATTTTATCTTGTTAATTCAATTTTGATAAGAGGTCAAACAAGTATGCCAAACTAAACAAAAGAAAATTGTCTATGATGGTCAATAGTATATGAATCATAGAAAAAGGTGGCTCAATTTCTATTCCAACATTTTTATCTGAATTTCCAAACTATTTCCATCAGTTGAGTTGATGCCTTCAGGCTTTCTAAGTTTTTTTTTTAACTTTGAAAGGAGACTTCACTATAAGTTTTGGATATCTTGAAATGATAAGATAAATTTTAGACACTGGAATTTAAACAATTTCTTTCATGTTATTCTAAGTAGGGAATAACAATTCAAACCAAGCCAGAGATGATTCAATCTTTAATTTTTAAAGCATAGCACATTGAAATATGTTGAGTTAAATACACCTGACTATGAAGAAATACATCTAGTTTGGTATGACCAGACTTTGAAGATTTTCAAATTCCATTTCATAAAAGGGATGAAATGTGTTTAAGTGACACCGTGACTAGGAGATAATGCAAGCTAAATACTTTAATGAGTTCAAGAGCCTCTTTGTAAGGATTGTAGCAAGTAGCAGGGAGAACAACCCCAAATATGTGGCAGGTGATTGGTCACATGATCTAATCAAGGTATAAAAAGCACACCTCCACAGACAGGGACTATCACACTCAGGACCTTGCCTTGAACAGCAAACCACTTCACTCACCCCATCACCATGTGCTACTACGGCAGCTACTACGGAGGCCTGGGCTACGGCTATGGAGGCTTCGGTGGTCTAGGCTGTGGCTATGGCTGTGGCTACAGAGGCTATGGCTCCGGCTTTGGAGGCTGTGGCTGTGGCTATGGAGGCTATGGCTCTGGCTTTGGAGGCTGTGGCTGTGGCTATGGAGGCTATGGCTCTGGAATTGGAGGCTATGGCTATCGCTCTGGCTTTGGAGGCTGGGGATGTGGCTGCTACCGCCCAACTTGCTGTGGAGGATACGGATACTCTGGGTTCTACTAAACTGCATGCATATATCTTAACACCTGGAACTAAATGAAGCTTTCTGAATATGGGCTCAGCAAATGGACATTCTTGATCAGGGTTATTTGTGCAGAAATAGTTTGTACCAATTTTGGCTAATTTTTATATTCATGCCCATATAGTCTTCAAATCCTATCCATTTGTTTTTTAATTTATTAAATGGGTTATCCACTTGCCTTCCAATAAAGTATTTGAAAAAAAAGCATGACTTTGGTTTTGTTTATGAAGCCTATTCTATTAATGTGATCATATTCTACTTGGTATTCAATGAAACAAACTATGTTCTTGACTTAAGATATTTTTTTCTTTTCATGGACCTCTCTCTTTCTCTCTCTCACACACATACATACACAAAGGCTAGCTTAGACAAAAATTGAAATGAGTTAAAGTGATTATTGATTTAATATTTCTACCCTTAAATTGATTTAGGAAATATCCAAAATTTAGGGACAATAGAAATGTGATAACCATTTGACCTATCCATAAGTTTATTTATTTAATATTCATTTCAACTCACACTGCTCAATTGGGATCAATTGTATATCAAATGCTTCCATATTTTCAAATGTATTTGTCACTGTCACTGTCACTGTCCTCCCGTTGTTCATTGATTTGCTCGAGCAGGCCCAGTAACCCCTCTATTGTGGCATTTGTTATTGTGTTTGGCATATCGAATACATCAGGGGTAGCTCGTCAGGTTTTGTCGTGCAAGGTAGATACTCTCGGTAGCTTGCAGGGCTCTTGCCATTTATATTGTCAGTTCAGGAAGATGTAGTAAATCAAATCATAACATTAAAATAATAAATAATTTTTACTAATTATTAGTAAATTTTTACATGAATATTTGTATTTGAAGTTACACCATTTGATAATTTGACATTTTCATTAACAATTTGATAATTCATAGAGGTCATTTTTATGATATTAAGAAGATTTTCAGTTAACTTTATAAGCTAAAAGGATTTTCATAATATGACAGGGCATTCTTCTTCACCATTATCACAGCAATAAAAAATTTTCAGTCCAAGGAAATGGGAAAAGCCCTATTTTGGGTTAATTTAATTATATTTATATAGATCTCAAGCAGAGTTTAATCTAATGAGCTTTCTTATTTAGCAGAATTTATATTGCCCTGGCAAAATAATATACATGTTTATCAATGAAAGAATAATAATTTGGAAACAAATATCAGTGTTTTTTTATGAGAACAAAGAGTATATTCAGGTAATAGTGTTATTAAAGTTATACTCTTAAATTAAATAAAATGTTCAATTTTAGTTAAATTTATTAAATTGCAAAGGTGGATATGTGTAGGATAACATTGGTTTGTCCTTTCAGCCTTGCTGTAGGGAGTCTAGGTTTATTGGGTTACTCCCATCACAGTGCTCCCGTTCCTCTATGTGTATTTGTAACTTCTTTCTTTGTGCTCTGTTAACTTGTAAATATTGTTTTTCTCTTCTCCTTAAGTCCTCTGTATAGTTAATTTAGAGCAATGTCCTTTCTATATGGACACAAGGAGATAGTAAATGTTACAAAAATGTTTTGTAACGTGGGAGTTAATTGACTCTCAATGATATTTACCTCTTGGGCATCTGTACTCTCAACTTAAGCCTCAGTTGCCCTTACTTCCTAGCACCCCAAAAGCTGGGTCCCGACAAGGGACTGGATGGACCCAGGGCAAAGGGTAAGCTATGTGCTATCCTGGTATTATGGCCAAAGTGAGATAATGCTAAACTATAAGTTAAATAGCATAGTCATGGGCAAATTCTGTCATGATACAAAAAGTAATAACTAGATTCAGTTCCTGCTAGGGATAGAAAGGATTAATCTGGACTGAGCACTGTAGTCTGAGTCTGTGGCAAGATGTTCCCAGGAGAGCCACCCTATAAGCCTCAATGTATCTCTTACTGTATCCAAACAAAAATAACTAATATTAAGAAGTAGGATTAAGATGTTAATTAAGTTATTGGACTAAGGAGAAGAGAAACACTACTAGGTGGTGTTTCTGCCCTTGAGCCTGATGGGTAGTCAGGAAGGGCTTTCTTATGTTGATTTTGGACTGGGGCTGGGTGTAGCATCTGCCCCCAGTGCTGGGGAGTGAGAGAGAGAGAGAGAGAGAGAGAGAGAGAGAGAGAGAGAGAGAGAGAGAGAGAGAGAGAGAGAGAGAAAGAGGAGTTGGAAATGAGAGAGAGAACAGGACAACAAGATGGAGTGAGGAAAGAATAGCAAGGGGACAGAGGGAGAGGAATGTAGGGGGAGAATACAGGAGAGAGAAAGCCCAGGCTGTGAGATGGAGCACTGAGAGATGAGTGGGAGAGACAGGAGGAGACGGGAATGAGGAGCAGCGAGAGACTAGAATGGGGGGCTCAGAGAGACTGGAATAGGCACATGGGGAGAATGGAATAAATGGCAACTGATTAACCAACCAGCTTGGCCCTCATTTATCCTCTGTCTGCCCTATGACATGAGCCGTCCTAGCAGGGGGAGTGGCCCAAGACTTCCCCCCTTCCTCAACTCGGGAGGAGAGGGAGAGAGTCTCCATGGCTCTCCCCATGGCCGCCCTGGGACATTATACAGATAAACATTAAGTGAAAGCAGTCACAGGCTTCTCACATTGAAAGCTAAAAATAAACTTAGATGGTCTGAAGGAATAGTCAGAAAATTGATGTCTCTGCCAGAAAGATAGTTAAATGGGCAAGGTGATTATTTTGCATGGGTCCAACTGAGTTTGATCCCTAGTACTCCAAATTATTCCCCAAGCACTAAGTGCAGAGCCAGGAATATGTCCTGAGTACAGCCGGGTGTGAATCAAAAATAAAACAAGCCAAAGAAAAGGAGAGAAACAGAGACAGAGATAGAGAGACAGAGACAGAGAGAGACAAAGAGACTGAGACAGAGACAGAAACAGAGAAAGAGACTGAGAGAGAGGAGAGAGGAAAATTAACTACTATGGAATTAAATTATACTTTAATGATAGAATAAGGATCAAGGGCAAGATTCTAGTCTCCTTCCATTCAATTACTATTTTATCACTACTTATAGTCAAATAGTGTATACATATATATGTATATCTATAGCTCTATCTATCTATCTATCTATCTATATATATATATATATCTGACCAGTCTTGCTCAACTTCTATGATCATAGTTAAATTTATGGAATATGAAGGATTCTTTTTCTAAGATCATGATTTATTTAAATGTCATGATACAGAGAACTGAAACTCTAACATTAGCTTTATATAGTTTTTACTGATCTTTGTATGTGTACATGCATATATATGTATATATCAAAATATGAAAGACTTCATTTGAAAGTCAGACTCATTTTCCCACATAAAGGCAAATATTTTCAGCCTTCAGTTTTCACTTTTCACCTTCCAGTCAATCCAACCTGGGTGCTTTAGATCCTCAATGTGCAGCGCCAGTGAGATATTATTGTATGGTTCCATTCTTTTACACATGATTAGATAGATTAGGTAAGTCCTTTGTTTGATGGACATTCCTTATAAGGTTAAAGATCAAAACAATCATCACTGGCATTAGATGGAAAAATAATGACATTCCTAGTATATTTCAGTCTATCTTAATTTCTGCTTAAATTTTCACCTAAATAGAGGAAAAACATTTTTATCTATAGATACAGTGCTCACAATTTCCAGAATAAAGCTATGTTATGGTCAATAAAATAATATTTTCCTCATTTCAAATCGGGCGCGTTCAGCGTTAGGGCGTTTGCCTTGCACGCAGCCAACATGGCCGACCCGAGTTCGATTCCTCCGCCCCTCTCGGAGAGCCCGGCAAGCTACCGAGAGTATCTCGCCCGCACGGCAGAGCCTGGCAAGCTCCCCGTGACGTATTCGATATGCCAAACACATAACAACAAAGTCTCCAATGGAGATGTTACTGGGCCCACTTGAGCAAATCGATGATCAACGGGAGGGCCTTTACCTTTACCTTTACCTTTACATTTCAAATAAGATGTGACCCTCAAAATTAACTTGTCTTTATTTTAGAAAGTTTCCCCCAAAGAGAATACAAAGATATCATTGTTCAAGTCTTTGACTTTACTGAATTCGTAGTAAAATAAAAAATTAACATAGGAAATATTTAATTTATCCATTTCAAAAAATAATTATTTTCTTAGAGATATCATTGTTCTTTAATCCATAAAAATATCACTAAAGGGACTAGAGACATAGCACAGCAGAAGAGTCTTTGCGATGGAAGTAAGTGGTCCTCCTGGGTTCAATCCCCACCACTCCATACGGTCTCCTGAGCCTATAAGGAGTGATCCCTGAATGCAGAGCCAAACAAATCATGACAATGTCTAAGAAGTGCTGAGTAAGTCCTGAGCACAACTGGGATGGTCCCCAAACCAAATAAAATATCAATGAAACTTATTCAGTTACTGGGCCCGCTCAAGCAAATCGATGAACGAAGGGAGGACAGTGTTACAGTGCTAAATTTAAATTTAATCCATTAAATTTAAATCATTAATATACTTCACAACTTTTTATTAGCCACAAAATTTGCATGCATATGTATTTTTGTATTCGTATGTGCTTATATGCTATATGCCAATGTATATGTGTGCATATACTTAATTGTGATCTCTATGATATACAGAGATATATAATAGATAATGTGATATACTTTTTGTGATATATAATGTGATATGTAATGTGATATTTATTTTTCTATTTTTTATTTGAAACTAAATAAATTTGGCATATTTTATTCTGAAGTTTTATAAAATATTTAAGAAATATTGGTTTTCTCTGAAGTGGATATAGCTATTTGCATCAGAAACAAACTAAATTACCTCTTCCAATAACCTAGGACCGAGTAGACATTTATGATCATTCCTAAGATTCTTAAACTTCTTAGACATAGCAAAGATTGTTTGGCTTCAAAATGACTCATTGACTATGTAAATTTTTGAAAATCATTATTTTTTTTTACAGATTTGAAAGCAAATATGGAAAAAATTGATACCTAAGAAAAAGGGGTCTAACAGTCACAGCAGACATCAGGATAAACAGTCCTTTAAAACTTGAATATTTAGAGGTCATATTCCATTTTTGAGATTCTCAGAGAGCCCGGCAAGCTACCTAGAGTATCTCGCCCGCATGGCAAAGCCTTGCAAGCTACCTGTGACATATTCAATGTGCCAAACACAGTAACAACAAGTCTCACAATGGAGAAGTTACTGGGCCCGCTCGAGCAAATCGATGAACAGTGGGAGGACAGTGACAGTGACAGTTAACAATCATAAAAAACAGGGTTTATTCTTTTCTTTATTCAACAAGCATGCTTTATTTACAAGTCCAATAAACAAATTAAGTTGGAAAATATAACTTATTGGAGGCCAAGAATATAACTCAGCATTAGAGCACTTGCCTTAAATATATGAGCCCTGGACTTTTCAGTTCTAAAAAGAAAGGTCTAAAATTAATTCTACTTATAAAACTAAAAACAGCAATAAAAGGAAAACCAAGCAAAACAAAACCCTCACTAGCATGCCTTAAGTCACATAAAATAAACATATTATTGAATACCCATGTTTGAGATAGGCTGCATTCTAGATGGAAGTAGATATGGGTTTGCTTATGCTACGTTTCTGGACTGAACTGAGGAGATAGTGAAAATTGACAATTTTATGTTCTGGTTTCCTATCTCAACTTTTTCAGTACCAAACGTCTGCTTTGTAAAATTTCAAGTCATTGATATTTTAAGACTAGATGATTTTAAAAGTATAGATATATATTTTTTAAAAATTAGCACCTCAATAAATAAGCAATGTCTGGGAAAAATGCTTTTCCATTACTGACAGAAGATAAAGAGCTAGAAAACACAGAATTGGTAAGTAAAATGTAAAAAAATGAGAGGAAAGAGTGAATAATCTGAGTAGAGAAATGAGGTCCAGATTGGCAAAAAAAAAAAATAGATAAGAATCTAGCTGGTACAAGAATGTATTGGAAATCAGTTAAGAATGATTTAAATTTAAAGTACAGCAATAGGGCATTTGCCTTGCAAGTTGTCAGCCTGGCTCAGCAAGTTCAATTCCTCCGCCCCTCTTGAGAGCCCGGCAAGCTACTGAGAGTATCTCGCCCGCACAGCAAAGCCTGGCAAGCTCCCCGTGACATATTCGATATGCCAAACACAGTAACAACTGTCACAATGGAGACGTTACTGGGTCCGCTCAAGCAAATCGATGAACAAAGGGAGGACAGTGCTACAGTGCTAAATTTAAATTTAAGTCATTCAATTTAAATCATTTAAAATTAAATTTAAAGAGAGATATGGTTCAATAAATTATATACAGATTTTGTGGAAGAATATAGAAAGAAGAAGAAAGTAATGAGAAAGCTTGGAGCAAAAAATATCAATTTTGAATATAATTTGGATATAATCCATTCTGCAATAGTGGGTAAAATTATTAAGACCGTATTAACAAACTGCATTTCAGACTGGATATAAAAGTGAGCCTATTGTCTTATATAATTCCTTAGTTTCTGAAATAAATGCATTATGTTAATAAAGTGAGTGAATGTTTTGCACACTAATATGCAATATCAAACAGCTTGTCGCGGGGATATGTATGTGTATGTTCAACTTGAAAAGTAAATCTGACATTTGAGAATTGTTAGATTATAGTTTTAAATGTTATTAGTGGATTGGAATTTGGATGGGAGGTAAAATAAAATAGCCCAGAGAATGGCATGATGAAGGGAAATAAGAACTATTTAATGAGAAATCAACCATCCACTAGGAATGATGTAACACGTTTAGTAATGAAGAAGTCTATTTTGAAGAATTTTTGTTTTGTGATTGAAAGCAGATTTTTTTGTCTCATTAAAAATAAAGGAATGTAAATAGATCAAGGCATTCTAAGTAGGCAGTAAAGCAAGTACAAAATATTTAATGAATGCTGGTCTCTCTTCTTGTTAGCAAACATTAATGAGTTTCCTCTTGTAAATGATTACCACGAAATGATACAAAAGAATGCCCACTTGTTGGGTTGCATTTTTCTGCTCAGAGTATATAAACACTCCTGTACAGTTGTCCACATTCACACCAAGACCTTGACTTCAACAGCAAGTTAAACTCACAACCCCTGACACCATGTGCTACTACGGCAGCTACTACGGAGGCCTGGGCTACGGCTATGGAGGCTTCGGTGGTCTAGGCTGTGGCTATGGCTGTGGCTACAGAGGCTATGGCTCCGGCTTTGGAGGCTGTGGCTGTGGCTATGGAGGCTATGGCTCCGGCTTTGGAGGCTATGGCTGTGGCTATGGAGGCTATGGCTCTGGAATTGGAGGCTATGGCTATCACTCTGGCTTTGGAGGCTGGGGATGTGGCTGCTACCGCCCAACTTGCTGTGGAGGTTACGGAATCTCCGGGTTCTACTAAATAATTGCCCTAATATCTCAGCATCTGTTGCATGAGTGGATTTGACAAAACACTTTGTCAATGGATGGTGATTCTAGTCTCGTCAATGAGTATACTTAAGAATTTTAAATAATTTATTATTTTATATCTGATTGCACCATGTATCCTGTTATGCTCAGCTTGATTACAAGCAAATGACTTATGTTAAATTCACAATAAATTACTTGATTTGAAAATATGACTTCTTTTGATTCATTTTATTACATTATTTTGTATACTTATAAGAAAACAACTTTGTTGTTTGTCTATTAGAAATACAAGACATACAAATTATATATATATATATATATAGGCATATGTAAGTTTAAATTAGTACAGAAAGAAACCCTTTAGGAGAATTAGTAATACAAACAGTAATATGTTATTCTATTTACTATTGGTATAAAACTTCAGACTTGATACTGATGCAAAATACCAGCTCAGCAGTTTTAACTCTATGCTTTGGAAGTAAGTTTACATGGTCTATATTTTGTCTGTTTCTTAAAGAAGTTAAAATTTTGGTACAAATCCTCTCAGTCTTCAAAATTATATAATTTTATTTCATATTTCTATGTGTGAATGGCAGACTTACATTTCTCGGTTGCTATACATTCATATTAAAATTGCATGCAGAGAAAATCTTTATAAGTAATCAGCATTTCTAAATTTTAGAGAAAGTAAGCTCTGCTTTTCTATGAATCTCATCTATTTATTAACTTCTTTGGTTATGATTTCATCTAGTTCATTATGTATATGAAGTGAGCCTGACTCAAAGGTCACTGAGTAATAAAACACAAATGGAATAACAAAATGTGAACTTTGGTTTTTCAGCTTGCTCATATCACTGTATTTTTATGGGGATTTTGCTTGTCATCATCATCATTATCAATACCAACCATTATCACAACCTCTTCATTCAATCACTGCTATAGGGGTTGTAGAAAACATCACAGTCGACTGAGCCGGTGAAGTGAAGCCAATTTTCTCTATTGAATAATATACTTTAGTCCATCAAAGTGGGATTTCTGTTTTCCTCTCCTTTGGCTAATACCACCAAAAAAGGCTTCAGGGGTCTGGTACGCAATAATCACGGTCACGGTCCTCCCGTTGTTCATCGATTTGCTCGAGTGGGCCCAGTAACGTCTCCATCATGAGACTTGTTGTTACTGTGTTTGGCATATCGAATACGTCACGGGTAGCTTGCCAGGCTCTGCCGTATGGGCAAGATACTCTTGGTAGCTTGCTGGGCTCTCCGAGAGGGGCGGAGGAATCGAACTCGGGTCCAGCCATGTTGGCGGCTTGTAAGGCAAATGCCCTACCTCTGTGCTATCGCTCCAGCCCAAAATAAATAGCACAGCGGTAGGGCATTTGCCTTGCACGCCGCCAACACAGCCGACCCGAGTTCGATTCCTCCGCCCCTCTCGGAGAGCCCGGCAAGCTACCGAGAGTATCTCGCCCACACGGCAGAGCCTGGCAAGCTCCCCGTGACATATTCGATATGCCAAACACAGTAACAACAAAGTCTCCAATGGAGACGATACTGGGCCCGCTCGAGCAAATCGATGATCAACGGGAGGGCCTTTTTTTTTTATTACTTCCAATATAATCAATATTAAATATTTTTGTTCTGTTTATAATTGCATCTATCTATTTCCGAGGCAATGAAAAATGTTCTTAATTTTTAACAAAAACTTTCTTTACTTCCAGATAACATTTTTCACCATATTCATCACATTAATAGAGACTTTGATAATGAATTGAAACTTAAAAGAAATAAGATAATCCAAACCTGCCTTTGATCTACTCAATCGACTGAAAATTTAATAACAGCATAGAAGAATGACTTTTCCTCTTATGGCAACACTAAATGTAAATTTGATTCAAAACTCCTGCTTTTTAATTGCTAACAGACACTTAAAATAGAGCCCGGCATGCTACCCAGAGTATTCGATATGCCAGACACAGTAACAACAAAGTCTCCAATGGAGACGTTACTGGGCCCGCTCGAGCAAATCGACGATCAACGGGAGGGCCTTTACCTTTACCTTATATAAATATTACAACTATAAATTTTACTAAGATAAATTTATAATTTATTGTGCTACTGAAATTTTTATTCTATCCCATAATTTCCATATCAAAGTAGGAATAGTCTTTTTGAATTACAAGTTGAAAAATAAGCCTTTCAATCATAGTCACATTCTCTGTGCTCATGCAAAAATGTAAACTCCTTAATACTTTGGAATATATTCACAATTCTAAATTATTCTTATAAAAATTAAAGAATTTGTTTCATCACTTGGTTGATTTTATGAAATGGCAATACCACTCCATTGAATAGCACATTGATTAAAGGATAATATTGTACTAAATGCCATAGTAGCCATCGTAATATTATACAGTTTACTGGGTCTCTGATAAACATTAAAATGCTTCTTAGATTAGCCATTTAGCTGTTCAGATCTGCTATAACAGCACTCACTTTAATGCCAATAAATTAAATGATTTGTCTTTAATTATTTTTGAGAATCTTGGAACATCACTTAATTAGTAGAACACATGACTTTGTATGTGTAAGACCTTGGATTCAACCCCTAACCCTTATGTCCTATTCCCCAGAGCCACAGTTATAACCCTAATGGATTCAGGGTACCAAAAGGTGTGGTTTCTGCAACAATAAACAACCAAAAATGTAAGGGTGCGTATTAACTAAATGTGATGTTCTGTTTAGATAGTAGTTTAGGTAAGTGAACAAACCCATTATAATGTGCCCTACCAATATTCCTCATAAATCTCAGCAAAACCTAACAATCCAGTCATGTGAAACAAGTATCTGAGCCCTGACTTTCAACATGTGATCTCTTTTGCAAGACCTTGATCAAAGATGTAATTATTACTAGCCTGCCCTTTGGTTTAGGTAAGGAATCTGAATAGGAGACCAAATGTCTCCCATTATTTTTTTTAATGTTCAGGCGCCTTCCCAGCAGTGGCCCGAGGGTTCTAAGTTAACACTCAGTGATGCCAGAACCTGACAACTCAGAATTATGGCTCAGCCGGGCACTGTTGCTTAAATATTGCAAAGCTGGGGGACCACCTGTGTCACTCTAGTCAGGCTGGGATTCTCATGGCACTGAAAATGAACTCGGGGCCTAAAGATTTTAAGAGCCACCCTCCATCCATTTGAGCTGTCTCTCCTGTCTCATGAGTCCCTTTATTTTTTTATAGTCACAACATCTATTTAAAGAATTTCCTAAATATCTAGGTTATAGAAATTCTTAAAAAAAATTTAGGTGACTTTAGGAGATGTTTTTGTTCGGGTGACACACCCAGATGTGTTCAAGGGTTACTCCTAGCTCTGCACTTAGGAATCAGTCCTGGCATGCTTGAGGGACCACATAGGATGCCAAGGATCGAATCCAGGTCTGCTGCAAGCAAAGCAAGCACCTTATCTGCTGTCCTATTGCTCCAGCTCTAATATATATGTTTTAAACAATTAATCCCAGAAAACCTTTTGTTATATCTTAAGAAGGTCTAGTAAAACATTTCTGTAAAACTGAAAAACAGTTATCAGAAAAAAACAAATCACTGTTGATATAACTCATCTGAATTGTGTAGAGAAACAACAAAGAAATGGAAGATATCAAATGATAAACAAACCCTTGGTCTTGGAATTCTGAACTGAGAATGCCAACTTAAGTGGGGGGGGTAATTTGTATGGGGGGATGATTATAAAGACTGTAAATAGCAAAATGATAAAGGTGGAGGGTTTTGAGTTATCTTGGCAGTGGTGAGGTGACATCATTACATCAAAAGCATAGACATTAGCACTATTATAATCACTTGACCCACATTATAATGATTTAATTTTTCAAATGAGCTTATCAGGTGGCGCTTCAAGCCCTTATTCTCCCTGACCATGAATCTCTCTCTCTTGACTCTGTACTTTTTTGCTTGCCTATTTACACTATGGAGAAGGCTTTGTTCTCTGTTGGACACACACTTCTCACTTTGTCTCCCCTCACACTTTTCTAATAAGTTACATTTAAGAAAACCTACCTTGTTTCACTAAAAAAAATAGATTTTATCAAGTAGTTGAGGGTACCTTAGACATTTGAGGGATGCTGACACTTGTTTTGAGAGAAGTGCTGAAACATCTTGTACCTGAGACCATGATTAACAGTGTTTTAAATGACAGTGTCAAAATAAAAACTGTGAAGGAAAAAAAAAATCAAGGGAAAAATGATCAAATTTTAGGCAAAGAGAAAATGGGGTAAATGTTTAGTGTTGACTTTGGAGATGCAGATGAGGGATAAAGTAGCGTTGATGGTTTTATATATGTATATAAGATGGGGCCAGAAACACTTTACCTGCCTCACATATTAATTTAGATACAGTGATGGATCCAGGAGGGTGAGTGTTAAAAGAGATTTAAAGTGAGATTTGAAAAAGATGTAAGATACTTGGGTAAACAATCAAGGAGAAAGAAAGAGGAGGGTGATGGGTATATGGAGGCAAGAGGCAATGTGCCCTTGTAACTGCACCAAGAGTAGAGCTTGTTTAGCAGAAAGACCAGAATACAGAGAACTGCCACAAGTCTCACAGAAGAACATTAATTACAGGGATAGTCTCCAATTCTGAGTCTAATGATGAGCTGTATTTTAAGGACAAAACAAGCAGGCATACACTCAATGCCTCTTTTGCAAACCACAGAACCAAAAGGATAGAGAAAACAAAAGGGAATGCCTTGCCACAGGGGTGGAGTGGGATGGGGGGATGGGGGATTGGGTGGGATACTGGGAGTACTGGAGGTGGAGAATGGGCACTGGTGGAGGGATGGGTAATCAATCATTATATAACTGAAACCCAAGCACAAATATTTATAAGTCTACAACTGTGTTTCACTAATTTAAAAAAAAGAAAAAAAAGCAGGCATATAAACCCTAAAATAAATCTATCATTTGTAATGGTCAAAGTTCTTAAGTTCTAAAAAAAATCATATGACTTTTTGGTTGCTATTTTCTGATAAACATAGCAGGAGTGCCAAATCATCATGACTTAAAAGGTTCTTTCATCTAAAGAGAAATGAATACTTGGCTTCTCATGCTGCCAGAAACGTATGCATTTCAAAGGAAAAAAATTCAGGGCTCTTCACATTGATTGTTTGGTATTTCATAGAACTGATTGCAACAAAACCCCCAAATACCTGTGATGAGACAGTATGTAATGAAAAATTCAAGAATGCTTACTGACACTGACGTTTGGCCAGTAGCTGTCAAGACTTCTATTTAGAGCGTGGTATGTTCTTCCTTTGAAGAAACAACTATTTCTTCTAAGAAAATTCAAACAGCACCCCCAAGGAACAGCCTCACTCGATAGCTGTGGAGTTGAAGCATTCTTAGTGGGTGTTGTAAGTAGATTATTGATTAACGAGCTGTGTCAGGCCAAGATAATTCATGGAATGACACTCAAGGTGGGACCGGTGTCCTCGCACATGCTTGGAGCAGGGTATATAAGCCTTCCTGCACAGCCGTGGACATTCACACTCTGATTCTTATCTGAACAGCACAGCTGTCTCCTCTCCTGACAACATGAGCTACTACGGCTACGGCAACTACTACGGAGGCCTGGGCTCTGGCTACTTTGGCAGCTTTGGTGGCCGTGGCTATGGCTGTGGCTGTGGCTGTGGCAATTTCTGTGGCATGCGCTATGGCTGTGGCTATGGAGGCTATGGTGGTGGCTGTGGCTGTGGTGGCTATGGCTATGGCTCTGGCTATGGGGGATATGGCTATGGCTCTGGTGGCTTCGGATGTGGCTGTTACCGCCCATGCTGCTGTGGAGGATACGGATTCTCCAACTTCTACTGAGAATGGACATGTTGCGATGCAAGAATCCTTCACTATGCTTGGTCCTATCTTGAACTTCCAATCCTCAAATACTCCTCCAAGTCTTGCCAAGTTTAATTGATAACCCTTAAATCATTGGTTAAACTGTGCCTCTTTTGCCTCTAACGTCTATGTGTAACCATTCTAATTTGATCCCATTTACTCTTCTTCTTCTTTTTTTGATGCTAGGAAGTGCTTAGGAGATATTTCCTGCTTTGGGGTTGGGGAACATAATCAGGGGACCATGTGGTGGTGGGGATTGAACCCATGCCTGCCATACTCAAAGCATGCCCTTCAGTACACGGCACTGTCTCTCCAACATTAATTTACAGTTAGTGACCCCATTTTATGTTGCTTTTAATCTAACAAGAACCTAAAAAAAATTTACATTTTGCTTTAGTCTAATAAATAGCTGTCTTAAAATATAAATACTTGTGTTCTGTGCTATTTGTTTTTATTATTTTAGCATATTTTACTGATTTAGCATAGTTTACTGATGCAGCATTGAGGTCTGTGGTTACATGGTTAACATAAAAAATGTTCCTTATTTTCCATATTGCATAAGTTTGAGAATACATTAACACTGGATGACTTTAGCCCAAGAACTTTTTTTCTTTTTTTGCTTTTTAGGCCATACCCAGCAATGTTCAAGGGTTACTCCTGGGTCTGCACTCAGGAGTTACTCCTGGCCGTGCTTGGGGGACCATATGGGATTACATGGATTGTACCTTGGGTCGGCCACGTGCAAGACAAACACCCTCCCCTGTAGCCCAAAAACTTTTACTGATCATTCTCTCCAGGGTGTTATACCCAACTCTTTCACTGAGTTTTATTCTACCTCAGAAAATTACTTAGTATTGGGGCCAGAGTGACAATGCAGTGAGTACGATATTTGCCTTGCCTTGTGTGGGGCTGACCCAGGTTTCCTCCCTGGCATCCCATATTGTCCCACAAGAGGTATATAGAAAATATCATGCTGAGTGAAGTGCATCAGACGGAGAGGGACAGACATAGAATGATCAATCCTTCTCATTTGCTGGATATATAAACAAAAACAACAAAAACAGTACGGGAATAATACTCAAAGACAGTAGAAATAGGGTTAAGAGGATTGGTTGATGGTATAAAGATTGTTCTAAGTTGTGGGGAAGGAGAAAGAATAGGCCATTATAACAATGATAATTGGAAATGATCACTCTGGACAAGAACTGAGTTCTGAAAGGAGGTAAACATGTTGACCTTTACTGAAAGGTATTGCAATATTTCAGACCACATAGTGCCTGAAAGGAGGGGGGGAGAGAAAGAGAGAGAGAGAGAGAGAGAGACAGACAGACAGACAGACAGACAAAGACAAAGAGGCAGAGAGAGTGACAGAGACAAAGATAAAGACAGAGAGACAGAAAAAGAGGCAGAGAGACAGAGACAGAAAGACAGAGACAGAGAGACAGAGATAAAGACATAGAGACAGAGAACAGTGCCTCCATAGAGATAGAGGCAGTCTGGGGTAGCGTGAGGGACAGGAGGAAAGTGGTAACATTGGTGGTGGGAAATAATGTACCCTGGTGAAGGCACAGGCATTGGAACATTGTATGACCAACCATGTAAAACTTTGTAAATGTATATCTAACAGTGATTCAATTAAAGGGAGAGAGAGAGAAATAGAGAGAGAAACACACACACACAGAGAGGGGGGGAGAGGGAGAGAGAGAGAGAGAGAGAGAGAGAGAGAGAGAGAGAGAGAGAGAGAGATCCCTGAGCACAGAATCAGGAGTAAGCCTTGAACGCCACCAAGTGCGGCCTTAAAACAATATAAAAAAAATTTCTCAGTCCCATCAGAAGGACTTTCTCTTATATTTACCACATTAATCCCACACTAGGATCAGGCCTCTTGGAATATTAACAGTGAATACAGATTAAACTGCCAAAAGAGTGTATCTTAGTCAACTTTCACAATGTTTACTACTTGTCCTGAGCCTGTGGTCAGGATTGCAGGACAGGCCGCTTCACCTGACTGTCTGACAAACAACAGGTGTGAATTTCCTGAAGTCAAACTTGAGTCCTGATGTGCTGTCTTTTCACACACACACACACACACACACACGATATATATTATACATATGGTATATATTGTAGAAGGTCATACCCTGCAGTGCTTACTCCCATCTCTGTGCTAAGCCATACTCAGGGGACTATATGTGGTACCAAGGATCAAACCTGGGTTGGCTACACAAGCAAGGCAAGCATCTTACCCACTGAACTATCTTTCTGGCCCTGATGACATATTCCTATCAGTCCTCTCTGAATCTATTAGGGGGAAGATTGTCCTGTGAGTGACTTCCTACACACTGACTATTATTTTTTTTTACCTATTATCTTTTTACCTATGTGTTAGTTTAGATTTCACCAAGTTCACACAGTGTTGCCCAAATCCCACCACCTAACCACACAAATAAATATTCAGATCTCTGCTTGGAGGACTTATCCCTCCCAAAAGAGGGGTCTAAAAGGACTATTTCCTTTATCCAAGAACTAGGATTGCCTCATGGTTGGAAGCTTTTCCCATGTGCTGGAGGAGAAGGCAGCTGGGATAGAGAAAGGATCACTAAGTCAATGATGGTTGGAGGGATCGCTTGGGACGGGAGATGTGTGCTGAAAGTAGACAAAGGACTAAACATGATGGCCTCTCAATATCTGTATTGCGAACCATAATGCCCAAAAGCAGAGAGAAAGAGGAAAAATTGTCTGCCATAAGGAGGGGAGGAGTGGGGTGGGGTGGCAGGAGGAATACTGAGGATGTTGGTGGTGGGAAATCTGGTGGAGGGATGGGCATTCAATCATTGTATGACTAAAAACTCAATTATGAAAGCTTTGTAAATGTATCTCATGGTGATTCAATAAAAGAAAAGAAAAGGACTATATCATGAGACATAAATAGAAAAACAAAGGGACCTTGAGCTCACAACTCACAAGTCAGACAGATTTTTGGTTACCAACTTGCAGAAAAAGGCGGGATTTTGGAAAACCAGTCCGAGTCTGTTGCTGGAGCAAGTTTAGAAAATAAACCTGGTTATTTCATATTTCTCCTTAAGTCTCAAATATATACCAAGCTACATGGTCTTTTTGGCTCCACCCCATCATGTTGCTCAAAACCAAGCCCTTATGAATATTTCATCTCTCTAGTGAGTCCCAGTTTCTCTCTCTCTGCCTCTCTCTCTCTCTCTCTCTCTCTCTCTCTCTCTCTCTCTCTCTCTCTCTCTCTCTCTCTCTCTCTCTCCCTACCTTATTTATTTATTTATTTATTTATTTATTTATTTATTTTCGCCATTTGGTTCACACCTAGTGAAACACAAGGGTTACTCCTGGCTCATGCGCTCAGGAATTACTCCTGGCGGTGCTCAGGGGAACATATGGGATGCTAGGAATTGAACCCGGGCTGGCCGTGTGCAAGGTAAATGCCCTACCTACTGTAATATAGCTCCAGCCCTTTCTCTCATTCTTTGACTACTCCTGGTGCTTTACTCACAAAGTATTGTAGGATCATCTCTATATAAGAATAATAATCATTGTTATAATAATTATAGCTATTATTCTATTTAATCTGGACTAGAGCAATAGCACAGCGGGTAGGTATTTGTCTTGCATGTAGCCGAACCGGGTTCGATTCCTCTGCTCCTCTCAGAGAGCCCAACAAGTTACTGAGAGTATCTCACCCGCATGGCAGAGCCTGGCAAGCTACCCGTGACTTATTCGATATGCCAAACACAGTAACAACAAGTCTCACAATTTGTTGTGAGACGTTACTGGTGCCCACCCAAGAAAATCAATGAATAACGGGAGGACAGTGCAGTTTATTCTATTTAATCTATATTCTTACTTATTTTCTACTGTCTAAAATTATGTAATATAAACATTAACATTATATACATAGATATATAGATATAGATATATAAAGCTTGCTTGGATGTGTTGTTGGGCTCAAACCCATGCCTCTTAATAGGAAGCATGCTCTGTCTGAGCTCAACCTCTTGACCTATTTCTCCAGCACCTCCCTCTTTCTGCTGTGGTGTCTGTGATATGGAAGATTAACCCAGGCCTCACAAATCAAAGCAAATACTCTATCCCTAAGAGACACCTTGCTCCTTATACTACTTAAGACTTTTACTGATACCATGATCTCTTCTGTTGTGGTGGTGGAGAGGCACTGGGGCCATACCTGGTTGTTTTTAGGGTACTCCCTGCACTGTGCAGGATATCATTCCACATGATGCTGGGAGAATTGTATGGCACTGAAGATCAAACTCAGGTTTCCTAGAAGCAAAGGCTGAGCCCCGCTGCGCTCTCTTTAACAAATATCTCTGCTGTTATCAACATTGCTTCAGTTCTTTCTCCAAGTAAGGAACTAGTTGAAAGCAATTTTTGTGTCTTTTTCTATATCTAGAAGAGCTAAATCTCTTTCCACTTGCAGGGCTCCTCAAAGATTCAGGGTGTCGGGGGTTAATTACCAGCCTAAGGAGATTAAATGGACATAAATATGGCCTGTTGGCCACCTTATGGAACTATTAGGGCATTTTCCCAGCAATCTGAATGAATTCTCCAGGCACATTTCTCTTCTGTGAGGTTCAGGGATGATTTGGTATTTATCTCCCATATCTCTATGGCCTCCCAGAGTTTGTTCTCCCACAACATAACTATTAAAATAGAAGTTCATTGATCCAAAGAATTGCCAGCTGATTTCCTTTACATGTATTTCATCTTGATAGAAAAGCTTAGAAATCAAAATTCAAGTGTGTTTAAATTCCCGGGATTAAAGTAGAAGAGTATTTTAAATGATTATCTTGTGCTCTAACAAAAAAGTACTCTAAAATGATCTCTGAATAAGGATAGTAATAATAATTATAGATATTATTATATTTCATTTATATTATTATTTTTCATTTTATACTGTCTAAAATTGAATAACATAAATTGACATGTACATTTATATGTGTCTTATAAGGGGGTGTATGTGTGTGTATATATATGGATATATATATATATAAAGCTTGCTTGTATAAACATAAAGGGTATTTTAGAGAATTATTACTAGCTGTGTGTATGTGATTCCATAACATAGTTTTCTGCAGAGACTATATCCTATTAAATATTAGCTTTTATACCATGACCATTACATTTCAAAGCTGAAGATTTTTTTTGGAGGGCAGGGCACACCCAGGAGTGTTCAGGGCTTAATCCTGACTGTACTCAGGGATCATTCCTGGACAACATGGGGGACCATATATGATGCCAGAATCAAACCTGGGTTAGCTGCATGCAAGGTAAGTGCCATCCCTGGTAAACTGTCACTGTGGCCCCTGAAGATCTTTTTTAATTTTGATCTCAATTATGCAAATGCCATTGAATTTTATTTATGACTGAAAAAATTAGTATGTCATAGTTTTAGATGCATATTGAAAAATCTATGTTTATGTTCTTGGTTACACCCACCAACTGCCGTGTAACTCCAACAACGGCCAGGATCCAGAGATCATCACACTCAGCTCCTGGGAGAGAACAAGACAGAGTCTCCTACCCTATGCCTGACTGTTTCCACCAGGGCCCAACAGCTGAAGACCATCGAGGCCCAGCCAAGGCCATGCTGGGAGCACTCTCCACACACTTGGATGAGCCTCACGCATAAAAGAACTGACAGAGGAACCCAGGTGTGTGGGACCCGGGGCTGAGATCTCCAAGCCCGCACAGTTTGGGACTGGACCTGCCAGAGTTACTGGCAGTTACACCCACCAACTGCCGTGTAACTCCAACAACGGCCAGGATCCAGAGATCATCACACTCAGCTCCTGGGAGAGAACAAGACAGAGTCTCCTACCCTATGCCTGACTGTTTCCACCAGGGCCCAACAGCTGAAGACCATCGAGGCCCAGCCAAGGCCATGCTGGGAGCACTCTCCACACACTTGGATGAGCCTCACACATAAAAGAACTGACAGAGGAACCCAGGTGTGTGGGACCCGGGGCTGAGATCTCCAAGCCTGCACAGTTTGGGACTGGACCTGCCAGAGTTACTGGCAGTTACACCCACCAACTGCCGTGTAACTCCAACAACGGCCAGGATCCAGAGATCATCACACTCAGCTCCCGGAAGCACGCGGCCGCATTTGCGGCCGCGCGACATCTTATCATCTCATTCCTAATTTGGTCAAACTGGCAGGCTACCAAATGTAACATGCCCACACAGCAGAGTCTGGCAAACTCCCCGTGGTATACCCAATATGCCAAATACCAGTAACAATGATGGGTCTCATTCTCCTAACCCTGAAAAAGCCTTGAATATGGCACTTAAAAAAAAAAAAAATCTCAGGGCTAGGACGAAGAAGACATTACTGACACCTGCTCGAGGCAATCGACGAACAACAGGGTGGTCGTGATCGTCGTGATGTTCTTGGTTAGATCCCTAAAGAATTGGGTGTTAGGAACAGAAGCTTTCCCATTTTGTGGCTACTAAATAGTTTTGTTGAGATAAATCTTGTTTAATTTATTATACTTGTAAAATGTTAAAATATGAATTTATTCTGAATACAAGTAGGAGAGATATATCGTGATTAGACATATTTCCTAATTCTGAAAAAAAGTGCATTAGTGTCAATCCTTTTAAGCTAGTAAATAAAGATTGCTTCATTTATGATTTATTATTGATGCAAAAGTATTAAACTGTGGTAGAATAATTTCTTGGAACGTGGATACAAAAAAATAAAGCCAAAAGCTTATCTTCAACAGAAAGGACTTGAGAGAATAACAAAGAAACATCTCATTTTTTCAAAGTGATCAGAGACAAACTGATGACATATATAACATAAAAATAATAAATTAAAAATATCAACTAATACAAAAGAAAATTTTGGTGAATATTTATCATTTTTGTATAAGGTAAAAAAAACTGAGAATGCCTGATTAGATATCTGAGTCTTATCTTAAAAGCTCTTTTGAAGATTCTCAACAGATTCAATAGTTATTCTCTGAAGCAGGGAGACTAGTTTAAGGCCAGGAATTGTGTTAATATAAATAGATTCCAAGGCTTAATATTAGTCTATATTTACTCAAATTTCTGCCAAGCACCATGCTATGGGATATAGAAATTATTTTAAGTATATTGCTCAATTTGTTGATTGATAGTGGAGCTATGATCTTTATGAGCAAATCGGAATCTGGTCAGTATTTGGAAAGACTCTATGGACCTTTTCTCATTTTAGTATCCACTGACACCAAAAGCTGCAGCGGTTATGTTCTATCTTTGGGTTATCTATATTCCCAGTAAATGGATTATTTTGAAACTTTATTTTTCAATTAATAATTGTGTCTTATTTGTCCTATTTCTTTATGGAACAGAATTATATTACTTTGCAAGTTGCTAACCTGAATTGGATCTCTAGTACCGCATCTGATCTGTCAACCTCGCTAAAAGTGATGCCTGAGCACAAACCTAAAAGTAAATCCTAGGCACGGCCAAGTTGCCCCAACTGCCCCACCATCAATAACAATTTTTCACCAGAGCCTAAACCATAAATCTGATTTGCTAGAAATGCTGTTTAATAATCATTGACTGGACTAGTGCATGCAATTATGAAATAACACATAATCTGTCTTAACTATCTTTTCATTCTTCATCTTACATGCTATGCTCTTCTCATTTCATAACGAGTTTTATTTATTTTCAGGAACCAAACTAGTTGTAATTTCTCTGAAGATTTATTTCCTTAGCTCTCAGGTCTCCCAGAAGCAAGACAACCACACACCATTTCTTGACTACCCTATTGGCCTCTCATTTTTTTTTAAATGTAGGAGTATGCTATTTATTCAGCCACTCATTAGGCTGGTTGAATTGGGCATGAATTCCATCTTACTTTTCCCCCCGTTTTTTATAATTTTATTTATTGAATCATTTTATTTATTGAATGAGAGCAGTTACAAAGCTTTCGGATTTAAGTCTCGGTCATACAACGAAACACCCATACCTTCACGGGTGCCCATTCTCCACCACCAAAAACCCCAGTATACCCCCATCCCATAGCCTCCCCCTACCTGTGGGGCAGATGATTTCCAAATCACTCTCTCTCTACTTTGATTACACTCAATATTTTGACACAAGACCCACCATTATTATTTGGGATTTTACCCCAACACTCAGATCTGCCAAAAAGGCAACAGTAGACAATTTGTTTTCTATTGCTGTCTATGAATAACATATGATGCCGTCCAGCTGCAGTAGTTGCCGCGTGATTTTGAAATTTTGAAATTTTAGCAAATAAATCTGGAGGGATTTCTTGCCAAAACCTGCTGGGTTCCGAGATTTGTTCCTGAGCCTCTGGGATCATGGCCATTAAGCAGATTGATCAGGAGCCAGAGAGGCCGTTCAAGGGTGGTGACTCAGGGTCTTGTTGGGAGGGGGAGAAAAGGGACAACTCGACCCCCATCCTGTGAGGCCCCGCATCTGGGGTGGCCCGGCAACAGTAACCTATAGAAGTCCAGTGGCCATGTTCCCAGAGACTCAGAAACAAATCTCAGAACCGATAGATTTTTAGTCAGTTTCTTGCTAGTACTTTTATCTATTTGCTTGTTTCACTTATAGTATGGGTCTTCCCAGGAAATTTCATCTATGTTCAGAAAATTAATCTTATTTACAGTGCATAGAATGCCTAAGTGTTTGTGAAATACACAGAAGAGTTTTTCATAAGTATTCATATTCACTATGACAATAACAACATTTTATTTATTTGATATCTTAATTTAAAGCCTTTTTTAAGGTAAAATGATTAGATTAATAGAAATGAAAAACAACTTGTGTTGTCATCTTAAACAGCATATATTGTTTCAAGTTATCCATATAAACTTATCAAACACACTTATAGATTCTCTGATTGATATGACAGCATAATCCAAATTCATTATCACTACTACTACTAATATACATATATACATAGAGTTTTATTAAGTCTCATATGCTTTATTAAATCATATTTTCAGAATTTAAGAGATATTATTTTAATGTAATTGATGTGAAAATAGTTTAATGTGCTTAAGTTACCTTCAGCTTGCTCTTCCAGCCCGTGTTCTCCATTGCACATGTGTCTTGCTGGTTTGTAAATATGCTCCTTCGCTGTCTGTATTTTCTAATGAATAGACACCCACTTTATCTCCTCTCACATCTCTCTCAGTAAAGTAAGTAAAGTAAAGGCCCTCCCATTGATCATCGATTTGCTCGAGCGGGCCCA